ACCAGGCTTCTATAAAGGGAAGACAAACCTTAAAAGTATAGGAAACTAAGAGATTGAATATTATCACCCTTAAAAATGATTCTTCTTACAGGGTTTACATGGAGTACAATACTGTATAACTGTATTAACTCAACTGTAAACCTAATAATTTACAGCCAATTTTGAAAGAGAAGCATCTTAGCTCTGGAAATTGTTATTGAATATGTCAATGCTGTGGTAATGAAATGCTTCTTCTAAGTATGTGGTTATTAAATAAATAATAAACTGAAAAAAAAAAAGAATGGGAAGAGTGGGCTGGAGAGATGACTCGGCAGTTAAGAGCACTAGCTACTCTTCCATAGGACCCAGGTTTGGTTCCTAGCACCCACATGGCAGCTAACAACTATAACTTCAGTTTCATGGGAATCTGACACCCAGTCTTCTGACCTCCACTGGCATTGCACAACATGGGTGCAATGGAGGCAATATACTCATAGACATAAAATAAAAATAATAAATAAAGTAGTTTAAAAAATACAGAGAGGCTTTTTGAAAATACAGCTTCCACCCAGTGAGAGGGCAAGGTGATAGAGATGAGGTCAAAAGGAGAGTCATGATGATTCCTAGCTAATACTCAGAGCCTGTGCAGTTTTTTATACAGTGAAAGCCATTGAATCATGGTAAGGAAGGGTAGGACAACCTTAATTTCTGATTAGAATATAGTTGTAGGTTTGATCATGGGGCAAATGAAACTAAAAAAGTAGATATCACATTAGTATATTTGAGGAAGAGGAAAGATGTGGTGAGAATTGAGGTAAAAAGATAGATTTTGGATAACTTTGTAGGTGGAGTCACAAGAACTTACCAATGGATCATATGTAAGAAGTGAGGAATTATGAATAAATCTTAAGTTCTTAGACTTGAGCAACTTGGTGCTTTGTTCTGATTTGAGAAAGATTAAGGAAAGTGGTGGTGATCAATAGTTTCCCCTTTATTGTTTGAAGTTCAATATAATATAATTATAATTTTATAACTAAATATAGATAGATGTTTATATACCAGTTAAAAAGGAATGCCCCTTTTCTAGAACATCATGTTTATTCATCTTTTGAACTACTTTTATCCTCCTTTAGCTTTGGAAGAATTCTTTACATCACTTGTGAAACAAGAAATGGTGAATATGCCCCGTGGGATATATCACTCTGCTTTAAAAGGAGGCATCCACTTAGACCAAGGGAAGACTAGAGCAGGAATCCCAAATTTCATATTGAAGATGTATGAAACAAATAAGCAACCAGGATTGAAACCTGGACTGGCAGGTAAGAGTACTGCATGGTATCAGAGTATAGATTTATAATATTTCCTTCCTTCCTTCCTTCCTTCCTTCCTTCCTTCCTTCCAAGTTATCATTTCTTAAAAAATATTTTATTTATTATTCTTGTTTTGTGAGTATATTGTCTGCATGTATGTAAGTGCACCGTGTCGTGCAATGCCCAGAGAGATCAGAAAAATGCATCAGATCCCCTAGAACTGGAGTTATGGATGGTTGTTAGCTATCATATGAGTGCTGGGAATTGAACCTGGGTCCTTTGGAAGAGCAGTCAGTGTTCTTAACAACTGAGCCATCTCTCCAGCCCCTGTAAATAAGTTGTCTTAAATGCTAACTTTTTCTCTCATCTTTTTTCCTTCCTTAGACAGCAATATTAAAAAAATAATTTGCTCAACAATTTATGTTTTCATTTATAAATTCTCTATCCAGATGGTCCTTAGGTAGAGTACTGAGAATATAACTATTTTTGTCTATAGAAAATGCTTTATAATTTCTTTCTTTTGAAAGGTGGTATGTTATTTTGCTATGATGTTGCCATGTATCAAAGTAAAGATGGCAAGCCACTGAATCGACTTATGGCCAGTAGAGGGCGAAGTTTCAAGCAGACATCACTTGCCCTGGTTCATGAGGTAGGTGTGTGCATGCCATGACTGTGGGGGGTGTTAGAGAATAACTTGTGGGAGTTGGTTCTCTTCTTCAACTTTTTTTTTTTGACAGGGTCTCTCTAATCCCAGCCCGCCAGGAACTCACTATGTAGACCATGCTGGCCTCAATCTTTCAGAGATCCATGTGCCTCAGCCTCCCAAGGGCTGGGATTAAAGGTGTGTGCCGCCATGCCTGGGTCTCCTTCAACATTTTGGGGGTTGTTTTTAGGCACTGAACTCAGGTCATCAGGCTTGTCAGCAAATGTCTTTTACCCCCTGAACCATCTTGCCAGCCTCTGCAAAATATTTGGGATAGTTTTTGATGACAGTGTTTTTATTTAAATAAACAGAGAATGATCTGGGAGCAACGTTTCTCTGAGAAAAAGAAATGTTTAATTTAAACAAAGCAGAGGAAAACATAAGTAATTTCTATATCTCTTATTCCCTGGCATCTCATTAGTTGGCTCTGAAAGAGATTTCTATCTTTTTGTGTTCTAAGCTATATATGTAGGTATATTCAGGACAAATCAGAGTTTAAGCACTTCATGGAAAGCTGTTTTGAAAAGTCATCAGAATAGAATTAAAAAAAAATATATGTAGGCTAGCAGAAGACATCTGAGAAATTTAGTTAATGCTATCAGAAGCTATGACTTATGCTCTAGGTAGGAACAGAGTTTTTGCATTAACATCCTTGTAGCTTGTGTTATAGAAGGCCTAGATGTGGCATTACTATACACCAGCATTATAACCACCTGAATAAAAAGCCTGACTCTTAAATTTAGTTTTTAAGAGCGGGCTGAACTCACTGGACACTTATGTCCTCCAGATCTCTCTTGGAACCGTGTCTCCTGGAACCATGCTGATGAAACTGTCTCTGGAACTCTGTTTCTGGAACTGTGTCCCTGAGTCAGGTCCCATCCACAGTTTTATTCAAAATATTTTCTTCAGCTTCACTTGGGGATGTACAAGCTTGGCTCTGCCCCAATCTTAACAGACCATCCTGCCTTTTCAGCTCTAGTTCCAGAATATGTCATTCATCCAGGATACATGTCCTTTCCAAGGATCTTTGTGAGAAATGGAGATGGGTGTGCTTACTTTCAGTGCTTTCATCTTTGATATGTTAATTCTCAAACATGCCTACTTTCATTCATTATCTTTTTGGGTAGAGAACCAAATTGAAGTTGCCAAAGAAATAAGATCATGTGCCCAGGTCAGAAGACACAGAGCACATGGTTTTGCTGGGGTTAACTACAGTCTTTGGAGTTCTGTGTTCTATGGTTAGTTTTTTAAAATGTATGTGTGTAGTTTTTTGTAATGATGAGTGGTAGCTAGCACCTTTTATGTGTCCTGCCCATATTATATGAGGTCCTTTCTCTTTTCTCTGTTTTTGTTTTCCCCCTGGACTTTCATTTCCAAAAGAAAGGTCCTTCTACATTCTGAATATAAATCTTGTGCCTGAAATGGATTTCGAAAAATGTTTCTACCTAGTCTTTTTCATTTGCTTAGCAGTGCCTTTTGAAGAATAGGTTTTTAATTTTGAAGAATTATAATTCATCCTTTTTTTTGAAATGGGGTCTGTGCTGGGATTAAAGGTGTGTGCCACCTTGCTAGGCCCATTATGGCTTTTTTTTTTTTTTTTTCCTAAAATAGGGTTGTAAGAATTTTGTTTCTTTTTCACTATTTTAAATTTTTTAATTTTAAATAGATAATTCACATATCCTAAAATCCACAGATTTATTTAAATACAATGGAAAAATATGGTTTATTGGTTATGGCTACTTTCACTTAGTATAATGTTTTCAAGTTTATATTACATACTGGTGCTTCATTATTTCAATGGCAAAATAGTAGTTTACTATGTAGGTATGCCATATGTGGTTTATTCATTAATCATTTTGTAAATAGCCTGTGTTTTCATATAGAAGTTTTTTACTTTAAAACTTATATTTTAACCTGTCATCCATTTGAATTTAAAGTTTGTATAAAGATTGGTTATATTAGTTGAAAATACATCTTTGAGTTACTTATTCACCTTTGTCATAATCATTTGTTCATTTATGTATAGATTTTTTTCTGTTCATCCTAGAGTATGCAGTTTGGTTTGTTGTCTATACGTCCATAAAACTATATAACTTATTGTCATCACTTTCTAATAAACCTTGAAGTGAAGTAGTAATTGTAGACCCTTTGCTTTTTTGTGTAAAATCAACTTTGAGAAATCACATGCCTGTTCTAATTTTGCTCATAAATTCATTGTCTATAGGCCAGTTGGTAGGAAATTGGTATCTTAGGTAGGAAATTGGTATCTTAGGAATACTGTGTCATTATACTAGGTTGCACTGTGTACCTTTGCATTTAGTTAGGCTAACATTTGTTGTTTTTGTAATAAAAATTTTGTGATGGTTTTTTAAAGTTTGTAAGTATTACGTATCCCTGGGTGTTCTGATAGTATTGCAATTAGATTTGATCTTCTGCTTCTATTTCTGTTCATTGCTGCTATGTAAACACACTTGATATGCTTTTGTGACCATACTAAACTCACTTATTAATTCCTATAGTCTTTTCATAGATTCTTTTGTTTCTGCTGTCTGTGCATAAAAGCAGTTTAAATCAATTTCCGTAAAAAATTAATTTTATGTGTATAAGTGTTTGCCTGCATGTATGTATATGCATTATGTGTGTGCAATGCCCATAGAGGTCAGAAGAGGGCATTAGATTCCTTGTTATTGGAGTTACAGATGGTTGTGAGCTGTCATGTGGGTGCTGGGAACTGAACTTGGGTCCTCTGAATTGCTGAGCCATCTCTCCAGGCCCACTAAATCTATTCCTTATCTATGTGCCTTTCATTCCTTTTCCAGGGTTTGATTGCAGTGCCTGGAACTTCCACTGAAATATTGAACACGACTAAGGAGAGTTTGTGTTTTATTTATGGCATTGAGGAAAAGTGTTCAGTGTTTCGCTGTTTAACATGATATTGTGTGGAGTTTCTTCTATATGCCTTTTTTAGGTTGAGGAAGTTCCTTTCTGATCCTAAATTGCTGGGCATTTTTAATCACAAGAGAAGCTGGATTTTATGAAATGCTTTTTTTCCGTATCTATTGAAAATAATGAGGTATTTTGATTCATTTTGTCATGCAAACCAATCCTGCATTCCTGGGATAAACTCCACTTGATTGAATGTTCTATTTTATTTATATAGTTTTATGTTGAGTTTACTAGATCTTTCTGTCTGTGACAAAGAGATATTAACATCTCTGTCTTCAACAGTTGATTGCTTTATATCCCACTAGATTTCCATACTTTTTGATGCTTTGTCACCAGACACACTTTAAGGATTCTTATCTTCTTGGAAAATCATGTTTTAGGATTATGTAATTGCCTATTCATTCTTGGCAACTTTTCTTGCTATGAAATGTGCTGTCTGAAACTAATAAAAGTACTCTTTATTTTTAATTTTTTTATTGAATTTCAAGCAACAGTTCTTAATGGAATTTAGACTCCTCCTCATCTATGTCCCCGATCTCTCCACCAGACCTCATGTGTTCAGGATACATGTTCAGTTCCATTCAGTCAAGCATTTGTACCCAGATGTCCTTCAGTGTAAATTCATTCACCAGAGTTTAGTCAGCCCATCTAGAGATTATATGTAATGCATACTATCCCTTATCCAATATCAATCAGCCAACAATAGTTCTCGCTTAGGGCTAGCCTGCCACCCATTTTTCTCTTCCTCTCAGAGCCCTTGTTTATTTGTATTGGCATGAATCCTGTGCTTGATGCTACCGTTGCTACAGGTTCACATGTGGAAGCTTTCAGTGGCCTGAAAGACTCTGCTTCCCTGTGTTCCCTGGCTCTTACAATCTTTCCATCCCCTCTTCCACAATAGTGCCTGATCTGTGGGTGAGTGAGGTTCAGTGTAGGAGTCCTATCCAGGGATACACACTCTATAGTCCCTTATTTCTTAAAACTTGAACAGTTATGACTTTCTGTGTGCATCACACTCTGTTGTATAAGGCAGCTTTACTAGTGAGAGTTGAGAGAAGCATTAGTTTTCTCTCTACACCTTGTTCTGCCATGTTCCATGAGCCTTGGGTGTAAGAGGATCAACTTTAGATGTGTTACCTAGTACTTGGCATCTCTTAGATGTATACTCTCTGTGTGTGGCCAGTTGTGGACTTCTTCAGTAGCCTCTGTCTGTTTCAAGAAAGCTTCTTTGAGGGATGGTATATGCTTGTCTGAAAATATAGCATCCATATTTAACATGTTTCATTTGTCTAAATATATGAAAGAGACAGGGTTTTCTCTAGGGTCTGTATCCTCTCCTGCCATGTGTATTTGGCTGAGTTTACAGTGCCACTCATGATTTCCCTTCCATTGAGAGGGCTTTAAGTCCAATTAGATAGCTGTTGGTCCCTCCCCCCAACCCTCTCAGCACCTAATTGTTACTAACAACTATCCATAACTCCAGTTGCACTGAATTCTATGCCCTCTTCTGACCTCCATGGGCAATGCACAACACTGGTGCGATTACACACATTCAGGCATACACTCATACACATAAAATGAAAAACAGTAAATGAAATATTTTGAAAGTGGGATTCTTACAAATAACATACATTTGGTTCTTGTTTTTGATTGCTTCACATTGCCTTTTACTTAGTTCATGTGGATACCTAATTTTCAGGATGATTATTGATATGGTTTGCTTAATATCTATACTGTTGTGTTGACTATGTTTGTGTGTATATATGCTTTTTATAGCATAATTCAAGTTCATTTCATTTTTTCTTACAATATGAAACCTAAAACACAGTATTAGTTAGCATTTGGATCTGCATGAACTAGGATACTTATGAGAAGCCCAGTTATATCAAAAGTAATAATATTGTGGAAAATTTAACTCAAATATACCAAAAATGCAGAAATCACTACTCTTTTTCTGTACTGCTTAGAAAGATATGATTGTTTCTCTATTTACAAAATGG